CTTCCTGGAGTGGGCTCACCTCATTCCTCCAGCACTCCCGGGGTAAAGAGGCTCCAATTCTTACAGCTCCCAGCTCCTTCTGCTCCCATTAAGGTCAGTTTTCATCTAGGCGAGCTACTAATCATCTGGACTGCTTCCAAGTCTAATTTCCCTGAAGAGTGACTTTTCCAAGGACCTGTCTTTTCTTAGTCTTCAACAGATCACATCACAGCACCCACAGTTATGTGCCCCCTTTTAGCTTCCATCTCGCTACCTACATGCCAGTGTCCACAGCTGTTACCGAGCAGCAAGCCTTGAACCGCTTTCCCCGACATCTCAACATCTTCCACTGACAAGAAAGAGTCATGCCGCATTCCCTGACACACTAACAAGGCTCGGATGTGACACGCTCTTCGCCTTCACTCACCTTGAAGAGGCAGAAGCAGATGCTGAAGAAGCAGAGGTTTTTCGGCGCCTACGTGCACGGCTGGGAGAGACAGAGACACCGAGTTTCTTTTTGGGGGACTTGGATCGGCGCCAGGGGTCCTTCCATTCATCTGCTCTCTTCGACTGAGTGGTGGTAATTGTGGTTGCCTCCTTCTCCTTCTTTGGTGGCTCAGGCTGACGGCTGGAAAACAAGAGGGGTTAAGTTGCTGGGACTTTTTATGTAGTAAGGCTAATAGCAGCACAGGGCCAGGAAAAGATCTCAGAAATTCATCCTTCATACCAGTCCTAGCTCTTAACCTCCACTGCAGGATATTCAGCATCATTTTGGGGTGACGAAGTGTTAGAACAGCTATCATTTTGTAAATCAGTGACTGCAAGCCCATCAAAACAGCACTACCTGCAAGTTCTGTGAACTACTTTGTCGCACCGACCAAGCAGCGATCGACCAGCTGATTTCAGCTTTGGCTTTTGGCCTCCAAGGACCAGACACAAGCACATGTAAGAGGGAAGGGAATGGGAAACCTGGTTCTTCCCACGCCTATGCCACGTAGCTAGAGCTGGAGCAACCCAAACCTGGTAGGCAGCCCCCAGCGCGATTAAAATACTGAACAGAGCTAGACTAAGGACAGACTTTGAGCGTGCATCTGAAACGCCGTCTTGATACAGCAAACTGCTGGAAACAACCAGCAGGCACTAAGAGGAGAGATTCAGCCTGAATTACTCTCCTAGAGTTCCCTTATCAGAACATCACGTGGGACTGTGTCACAAGCCTTACCACAGCCAAGACACATTGATCTGTTTTTACCCTTACAAAGGGGACGGTTACCTCATCAGCTGAGCATAAAGCAGTTCATAACGGCTGTTTTATCACCGTATTATTCTCTAGGTGCTTATAAACACTGTCGAATATGTGCTCTCCTGCTGTTGATAACCATGCGGACGTGACGAGTCAGGCTAGATACCTTCATCTCCTCCCTTCCCTTTTAAGGGCTCTAGTTGCGTTTCCCTTTTTTCTTTGGTTCTCCGAGCTTCCCCTTCTCCTCCACAACCCTCCGAAAATAATTCAGGGCTAACTTTTCAGCATCCGCATCGGACAGTTCCTTAACTACTCCAGGTTGAGTTTCTTCAGGCCTAGACTTTATTACCTCTCTTATCTACGGGTGATTTAACTTGTGATTTTTCCTCACCCTTACTCTGACCTGCCCACGACTGTTCAATTACCTGCTCATAACCTTCTCCCTCGAGTTTTAGGCAAAGTTTGTGCTTGCTTAAAGGTTTACAAAGTCTGTTGCGCTCATCAAATTACCAGTACAATGATGTGTTTATTCCTTTTCGCAAAATAATGAACCCTCTCGCTCTGAGAATTTGGGGGAGGAAAGGCACCTTCCATCGTTGGGTTCAGCCAGTACCACCCCATTAGTCACACGACTGAAGCAACCACTCCCCACGCAACTTCCTCTACCTTTTGAGATAAAAAAAAAGCAACCTCCAAGTTTACTAATAATTCTATGGACTGTGTTTCTTGCCACAACACTTTTTCAACAGACAACAGGATAATTAAAGCTTTTCTTTAGCAGCCCGTTCTGCCCTTTGAGGGCTTCACTAGTCACTAAGAAGTCTCACCTCCTCTTTGCTCGGCGGTATTACAACAGACTCAACAGAGTTAAAATTCCTACAGCCTCCCACCTCTTCCCCGACTCCAGAACTCGTATATGCTGACTTTAAAGTCCAGCGCAGTATCCTAC